AACTCTGATACAAATGGAAACTTAGGCCTTGTCTACATGCGAAAGTTGTACCAATGTAACTAAAATATCATAGAAACTGATGTATCTGAATATTTGCCAGCCCCTGGGGTGCCTTATATCAATATAATTAATAGCTTAACTAGTTAAATTGAGATAAGGCACTTTTTAAACTGATTTTTAAGAGAATCCTGATACAGGGCTTTATTTTTTAAAACTAGATCAGTTTTTAAAACTGATGTAACTAAGTTGCTACAACTTTGTCATGGAGACAAGATGTTAGAAAATTAAGCAAATAAAAATGGCCAAAGAGCTGGTTTTGGAAGCAGGCAAACATATTTATTACTTAAAAATAAAAAGATCCAGGCTTAAGTTTTCAAAGGTAAATAGAGATTGTGCGTCTAAGTTGACGCTTTGATTGGACCTGATTTTCAAAAAGTGATGAGCAACCCTTCTCTAAAAATTAAGTCTTTCACATGTTGCAAGTTTGCTATCCAAAAATCACTGGTCACTTTTGGATAACTTATGCCATTATGACAATTTACTGCACACTGTATCTTTTCTACTTGCACACTGCAGCCTGAAGCCAAGCACAGTTCATACACTTGAAAAATTAATTTTTCATTTTGTTTTAAATTTGCATGATTAAAAATCATCCCATGTAATTTATATCTACATCTCCTTTTGAGGATCTAAACTGCCTAACAGTCTTTTTTTTAGATAATTGTTTATAACCAGAAGTGTAGGTGTGATAAAACTTCAGCCTCCCAAACTTTTGGTATGACATGATATTGATGCCTCTCTCGATGCTCTGTTAAACTAGAGAGAACATGTTTGTCTCAAGCTTCGAGGAGGTGATGAGTCCAGCTTCCTCTGTGGTGACAAAGTTGATGATTTGGAGTCAAGTGAAAAGAGGGACACCAATGATTAACAAATTCTCCCAGATGTTTTCATCTTCCTTTTCTCTGCCTCATGTCTCACCTGCTTAGGTCACTGTGGTCCCCAGCACCCGCTATGAGAGTCAGATGTGCTGATGTTCTCATCCTGACTAACCAGTATTGCCAGTTGTGGAGCTTGATAAATAAAGTCTGCTTATCTCCAGATTTTCAGTGGAGTAAGCCTGCTGTGTACCACACCCTGAGTCCATTCTCCAGATAAGAATCTTCTAGGGCATGCTTCCCTTTTTTCTATTTTACTCAGTAAACAAGCTTGCTTGTTAACAAGCATGGTCTTCTCTTCCATGTGGCTTTTCCCTACATACCAGCTCTGCCACAGGGCTGGACTCAATTCATGCTTCTCTGCTCCCCAGAATTCATGGGCAGCTCCTGGACAGTGCCTCTGCAGCTGTTAGCCAAAATGGGTGGGGAAGAGGGTGGATATAGCCCTGCCTTTTGTCTACAATGGACTACAGAGAGTCCACCCTGGATCCTCCTATAATGCATTTCAGAGCTCACGCTAGGGTCCAATCTTAGTGTTACAGTCTACTCCACAATGTAAATGTGGGTTCTCCTGGAGAAGTACCTTTTTGTGCCAGTTTGCAGAAAAGGCTAATGCTATTATCTTCAGGAAGAGGAATATGAAATTAAATCCTCTCACAGATCCAACAGGAAGACACATTTATTTCCTAAATTACATTTTACAACCAGATAGAATTTAGATGTATGGCGGATAATGAAACTTGGTGTCTTCAAAGCAAAATGAATAAAATCTTCCTTTTCTTTTTTGCTATAGCCTTCCCACAAAAGAACCCACCAAACAACCCCATATTAAAATCAAACAAAGCCCTATTTCTCTAGGTACTTTTCCAACTCCTATCACTATATTATCTAAGTATCTTAACAGCATCTATGAATTTATTCTCACAATGCCCTAGTTATGTAGGGGAAAGTATTAGAGCTTGTCTACCACAGTGGGTCCTTGAGAGGGTGGAGGGGGCATCTTCTGTGTTGTATTTATTGGCCAGTTGAGTTACTTTGTTTGCTGTATGTTGCTGTTTTTCATATGTGATTGCAAGCCTAATTAATTGTTAGGAAGCCCTGAGGGTTTTTTGATACACAGTTTCTATTGTTTAAATCTTCAGAAGTCATAGATGGAGACCTAAAACTGAGGCAGAGAGAGATTAAGGCTTTAATCTTACACTGAGATCCATGACAGTGGGCCTCCACTGAAGTCACTAGGGTTCCAGTTGAGTTCAGGAGTTTCATCCATCTTGTTCTCCATGCAGCACAGGGCCTAAATGACTTGCCCAAAGTCTCACAGGGATCTCCTAATTCCCAGCCCTGTGCCTCATCCAGCAGCCCAACCTCACTCAAAGGAAGAGCCCTACAAAATGGATATTTTCTAATTTTTGTTGAGGAGCCTTTTTTGGAAGGTATTCAGTTACCATGGTGATGGGTTCCTTATACAAAATGTAAATAGTGCAGATATTTAAGCGGTTAATATATTGCATATTCTTATTTTTAAAGAACATTCTTCTGCAGTAACTGTTTCCATTTACTTGCATAGCTGGAGACATCAGCTCTTTTTCACATAAAAGTTCTCAGATAGATAGATCTTCTCAGTTAAAGGGAAGCACTGTCTGACTCAGTGAAAGTAATAAAATTAAGCATGAAAGAACTCAGCTTAATTGATTTTTGGAGGCAAATGAACCTGAACATAAAACAATTTTCTTCTTATTCTCATGAGCACAATTCCTACATAAGATTAGGCTGCTGTCTGTTTTCACAATGTTGCATATAAGTTTAAAATAGCAAAATGGAATCTATTCAAACTTCTAATAGTGTTTTGATTAAACTCCAAATTAAAGGCCAAGCATTAAAAATCAGAATTTCTAGAAGATATACCTTTAGTGTAATACCTTGTTAAAGAAGACTTCTAACTTTATAGGATAACTGAGGCTTGAAATATTTTTGGATAGAACACTTTTAATGCCTCTTCAATTTATCATGGTATATTTTAAAAGGTTTCATTAGGGTAATTGAGTTCATAGGCAAAGAAGCTAAAAAAAATTAAGGAAAGTCTTGAGGTGTATCTGAAAAGTAGTAGTTCTGGAGTAATTAATTACATTGTTTATTGGGGACTCTTAAATTCTAGAAACAATTTTGCTTTAGACTTGCTTCCTGACTAAATCTGATAAGCAAGAATCAAATAAAGAATAAAAATCAAGGGATAAAACTTATAAAAAGTATATTAAAATAAGGATGAATGACTTTTTGCATGCTAAATAAGGCAATCGGAAAATATTAGAAATGAGGACAGTGTAGGTGAGATTATAAATTTACTATTTATACCATCTAAATAATTTATGTATATATTAAGCCCCTTAGTCTTGTTTGTTCATGTGTATAGTATCAAGCACAATGGAGCCCACATTGGGGCATCTAGGTACTACTGGAATACAAATAATAATACTGCATCTCAATTTTGTAAATAAGAATAACTTTACAATTACTGCTGCCTTTCATCCATATGATCCTCAAAAAGTTTACAACTACTCTGTGTCACAGTTGCAGGGTGAATTTTGCTTTTAGTTCCTCTCATGTGCACCCTTCAGGTGACAGGCTTTCCTTCTTTCTTTGTGTCAAGTAAGGAACCATGTGATCCAACTTTTTTTTCTTTTACTTGATATCTGGATGGCAAGCTCCCTGTTTACCAACCACATTGACACAACAGGCCCAAAAGCATTTGGAACCTGTAAGCCCTTTTCCTCTAGGCATCTGTAACCAACTTCTGGTTACAGTGACTCAAAGACAGTTTCTTCAAAACAAAACATTATTTATTCACTGAAATTACATAGCAAGCAGGCAAAAGGGACAAAACAACAAAAAGCCTGTATGCCTGGTTCCTACTTACACTTTCTTTCTTTGCAAGTGCTGAGTAAGTTCCATTTAGCCTAGCCATTCCTACTCTTGGGGTGGGAGACAGAGACAGCATATTATATATTTCTCTGTCAGAGGCTTATGTCTAGCCACTACTGCCCACTCAATGCCCCTTCTTTTCTAGGCCTCAGGTCCTTTAATGGTTTAGTATTCGCTTTGATTCTAGATTTGGGTCTGGGAAGACTAAACCTAGCTAGATTGGTTAGAGCTAGGCAGGGACAGTTCCTAATTAATAGCTTTCTTCATTGTTCCTTTAAGGTACCTTATCTCTGTTGCTTAATTTCCTGTTTGCTTCTCCGATGAAGTGAGTTGTAGCTCACGAAAGCTTATGCTCAAATAAATTGGTTAGTCTGTAAGGTGCCACTAGTACTCCTTTTCTTTTTGCGAATAGAGACTAACACGGCTGCTACTCTGAAACTTCTCCCAGATAGTCTCTTTTGATTGGATAAGCACATCTTTTATACAGCTTTTCCTATTTGACCCACGCATGTCTGGGACCACATTTGATCTGGTTTCAGTCCCTGCCCATGTGTGGCATTCTAACTAACTATAGTTAAACTTCCGACCTCACTTGCATCAATTAATATCCCAATAGTTTTGATCTGTCAGTGCAGTTACCTTCATGATTAGCTTATTGCAAAAGTACCCTAAGATGTTACCATATGTATGTTTGTGGTTTACTTGTTTATCACACAATGAATGACTAAAGTATCACAAGATATATAATGCTAAATTTTATAACCTTAGGTCAAGCATATAATACTCATGCTAGCTTATCTTAACTTCTACTGGGCCTCTTTCTAAGCCCTTTACACTTAATGCATAAGACATATAGCTAAGCCTATTTTTAATACATATATTTTGGTTCTTCTACTTGCTATTACAGCTTCAATAACTTTGATTATTATTTCCATAAACACACTTATTTTACTCCAAAACCAAAAGAAATCAATATTGTCTTTGATGGATTTAGAAAGTTACAAACTACATAGATAATTGTGTAAATCCTATTCATCTATAATATTAACCTCTTGGATCACCTAGGATTTTTACACTCACAAGATAAATGTGTGTTTAGATCTATATAAAATCTCCTAACAACACTTCCTTTGTGTTGTTTCCCAGTCCGTTTCTATAGATGAGAGTTGGATGGTGTCCTCAGTCCCTGCTATCCTGATTGGGAGAGTATTTCACATATCTCAGCAACAGATCGAGGTAAACTATTCGGTGACTAATTTATCCGATGAATATTTCCATTCCTAAATTATCTATGAACAGACTTTTTTTATTAATAGTTTCATTATTTGCAACTGTTAGACAAATACTTACAGAATTATTTCAAAAAAAGAAAAGGAGTACTTGTGGCACCTTAGAGACTAACCAATTTATTTGAGCATGAGCTTTCGTGAGCTACAGCTCACTTCATCGGATGCATACCGTGGAAACTGCAGCAGACTTTATATATACACAGAGAATATGAAACAATACCTCCTCCCACCCCACTGTCCTGCTGGTAATAGCTTATCTAAAGTGATCATCAGGTGGGCCATTTCCAGCACAAATCCAGGTTTTCTCACCCTCCACTTCAATCTCTCTGGTCACGCAATCACAGACATGAAGGTCGCTATCTTAAAACAAAAAAACTTTAAATCCAGACTCCAGCGAGAAACTGCTGAATTGGAATTCATTTGCAAATTGGATACTATTAATTTAGGCTTAAATAGAGACTGGGAGTGGCTAAGTCATTATGCAAGGTAGCCTGTTTCCTCTTGTTTTTTCCTACCCCCCCCCCCCCCAGATGTTCTGGTTTAACTTGGATTTAAACTTGGAGAGTGGTCAGTTTGGATGAGCTATTACCAGCAGGAGAGTGAGTTTGTGTGTGTATGGGGGAGGGGGGGATGTGAGAACCTGGATTTGTGCAGGAAATAGCCCACTTGATTATGTAAAGAGTTGTCACTTTGGATGGGCTAGCACCAGCAGGAGAGTGAATTTGTGTGGGGGGGTGGAGGGTGAGAAAACCTGGATTTGTGCTGGAAATGGCCCACCTGATGATCACTTTAGATAAGCTATTACCAGCAGGACAGTGGGGTGGGAGGAGGTATTGCTTCATATTCTCTGTGTATATATAAAGTCTGGCTGCAGTTTCCACGGTATGCATCCGATGAAGTGAGCTGTAGCTCACGAAAGCTCATGCTCAAATAAATTGGTTAGTCTCTAAGGTGCCACAAGTACTCCTTTTCTTTTTGCGAATACAGACTAACACGGCTGTTACTCTGAAACCTAGAATTATTTCAATCAACAGGTAGCTTTGTAATCTATTTGTTTCAGCTACGTTTTGGACTCTTATCTACTCATTATGTGTGAAGTCAGAGGTGACATGAGTCATGTAGTATTGGTTCCGTTCCCTGATTGGATGACTTAGCCGTATCTAAACAGGAGGGAAAACATGAGAAGATGGCCACATGAACCTTTTGTTTAATACATATATATGTTCGTATAGGTAACTTCCAGATTGTTACCTTCCCTGAACTGTTACCCCCTAAGACAGACCCAGGGTACCCCACACAATAGCTCATCTATTGCCCCTTCCTGGGCTTAGCAGAGATTCCCTTTACCTGACTCACTTATCTGTTTTTGTAAGATGAAAGGGGCAGAAATTTAGGTTGTGACCATTAATCGCCACCCTTTCAACCTGCACTTACAGCTACAACCATTTCATGACAAGGGCAGTGGCAGACTGCCTTCTACTGATCCTTACACAGGCTATGGTTGTCTGTTTGACTACAACTGTTTGTAGTGGTTTGTTTTTTCCTGTTAACTCCTGTTTCCCCAGGATAGAATCTGCCTTCCTTTGGCCTTTGCCTTTGGGGCCCTGTAGTGAGGTCGAGACTTACTGCTGCAGCGCCTCCTGCTGGTCCTCTTGGGAATTAGCTCTTCACCAGCTTCAGAGCGCCCTCTGCCAGCTGGTGTCTCACCTGCCACTGGCCCCATGTCCCTCCCAGACCCCAGTGCCCTTTAACTTAGGGTTCTGCCCAGCAGTACCCCCTCACTTTGGGTTTCCCCTCCTAGGGGAACCCCTAACCCTCTAAACTCACTTTGCCTCAGTGGCTACTGCCAGTCATCATCTAACCCCCACTCACTGGGTAGACTACAGTGTAATAGCCACTCATCATTGGCAATGGGTTAGGACCTGCTGCCTTTGCCTGTCCTCAGGCTGCCCCTCTGCAGCCCCAGTACCTTTGTAGGCCTTCACCAAGGCCTGCAGCCTGGGAATTTATCAGGCTGGAGATCCCCAGCTCCCTTTGCCCTTCCCTAGCACTGCTCTGCTTCAGGTACCTTACTCCCAGGCAGCTAGCCCTTCCTACTCCAGGGCTAGAGTAAGATTCCTCGAGCTCCTGACTCCCAGCCCTCTTATAATGGCCAGCTGGACCCTGATTGAGCTGGCCACAGCTGGGGCCAACTACCTAGCCAGCCTCCTTCAGCTGCTCTTCAGCCTTTTATATCAGGAGCGGGGTAATCACCCTGTTACAGGCCCAGACCTGTTTCACTGAAAACAGCTTGCTTCCTCAGGACAGAATCTGCCTCCCTTGGTCTCCACCCTCTGTGCCCAATTCTGTTTCCCTGAAAACAGTGGGACCTAGCGCAGTTGTTTGATCACTTACGATAAGCCCCCTCTGACCACTATACCACTCCTGACCTGAAGACTGCGTCCACTGATCCACACTAAAGGACACAGATACAGCCTTCCACTCAAAGGATTGACACCCAGGCAGTACTTTTCCAAAACAAAGTATTTTCTTTGGTGTGAACATTTTTTCCTAATACAATTAATCTAAACATAAATTAAAACATAAACATAAATCCCTTAGCATAAGTATCCAAATTAAAGTACCCAAGACCTTAATGTCATGCAGTTGGAATGGCTTAAGTGATTATGTTCTGCACATGGTGATCAGTCATATGCAGGACACTGACAGCAATCTTGACCCACTGTTCCTCAGACGTTCTTGTTAACTCCTGGAAATGTGCTGGAAATGGCCCACCTTGATTATCACTTCAAAAGGTTTTCTCTCCCCCCACCCCACTCTCCTGCTGGTAATAGCTCATCTTAAGTGATCACTCTCCTTACAGTGTGTATGGTAAACATCCATTTTTGCATGGTCTGTGTGTATATAAATCTCCTCACTGTATTTTCCATTGTATGCATCCGATGAAGTGAGCTGTAGCTCAGGAAAGCTTATGCTCAAATAAATTGGTTAGTCTCTAAGGTGCCACAAGTCCTCCTTTCCTTTTTAATAAACTCTAAACTTTATACATAGTAACATACACATACACACCATAGACACCCATCTTTATTAACCCAGACATACACATTAATTAACCCTATTTCTATCCTATACTATGGCTAGTGGGCTTACTCTCCATAGGCTTCTTTCCCTTTGCTCTGTCTAAGGATCCTTCTGGTCTGTCTCAGTGGCGCTGCTGCTATTACCCTGTAGTTGCTTCTTTGCTGTTCTTCACAATGTAGGCCGGAAAGCCTAACCTTGAACATTGTTTTAAGCGATAATTATTCTAAGTATTAAGATTTGTATTCATTTTGTTAGTATATGATATGATGTGTTGTGAATTAGCAAGAAGAAATGGTTTTGGGTTTTATTGCATTTTTAGTAGGAGTAAGAAGGAATTGTTTTATTAAGGATAGGATGGTTCAGCTCTGCTTTGCATTGTAAGAAACCTTTGCTCTGTAAGAAGCCCTTTTTAAAAAAAAGTACTGTTCTGTGTGAGTGAGGAATGTATGGTATGCTAACAGATAAGAGACAGGAGGCGCCAGTACCAGATGAGCCGGATGGTCAAGAGCGGAGTGAAGGAATCAAGAGGTGCCACCCTAATGATCAGAAGGGCTGAAGAAGGGCAGATTGACGACCCTAAAGCAGAGGCATGCATCCCCAAGGACGAGCTAAAGCGTGGAGCCAGAGAGAGGAGATAGAAACAGCTGTGGAAAACAACCCAAAATAATGCTGATTTGGAGCAGCCTTGACTACTTTGTGATTAATGACTCCAGTATGACATAACACAGCCCATAGACTCGCAGGGGAACTTATTGCTATAAAAAAAGGGTGTATTGTTATGGGACTTTGGGTTCATTTTGCATCAACACCAGAGCTTCTAGTGCATTGGACAGAGACTCCAGCTCCCCCTCCCTTCCTTGTGTGTAGTTTCAGCTGGCTACTGAAACTGACCGAGCAATGCTAAGGACTGGTAACTATAAGATCCAGCTGCAGAACCTTTGGAGTGTGTGTGTGTGTGAGAGAGAGAGAAAAGAAGTATATGCTGATTTTAATGATTAAATTGTACTCTCAATAAATGCAGTGTATTACCTTATCCCATTGAAAAAGATTCCGTGTGCTTCTTATAAGCATAACAAGTCATTTAGGTTTCTGTCTTCTGGTCTAATCTTCTCCTTGCTTTCTGTCTTGACTGACTTTTGCCTGTTAACCCTCTGTCCTTTTATACAGTTTTTAACCTGTTCTGACTGGCTTGTTTCCCAAACCTGACATTAGCATACATAGCCTCCAATCACCTTTATACCCTCTTTGGTGGTCCATACTTACAGGACAATCACAATTACTAAATCTAACTGTCAATCAGAGCTGTTTTAGTATTATGGCTGTTTACTATTATGTGAAAAGCTCCTTGCACAGTTTGGGTTGGGGTGAGGGAGTAAGGAGGAAGCTCCTGAGTCCCAACCACAGCAGCAACCACATAACAAACAGCAACTTCTCAAAACAGTAACCCTTGTGCTGCTCCCTGGAGAATTAAAAATAGTGATTTCACCAAGAGAAAATTGCTTTGATCCTCACCCATCCAGAATACCAGCATGAGGCCTGGGCACCACTTGGGTCCCCACTAAATTCTTTAAAGAGGATTTAATTAGGACTTAAATAGAGTATAGGTGTGTGGTGCTGGCTTCTGTCGGGAGTGATTTTCACCTGCGGTGAGTATCATGAGCCATCCATAGGCTGACAATTGATTATGTGAAAATAAATTGCCAAATATTGCGAAAGAATGAAGGAATTCATAAACGTTTGAGTTTTGACTATTGTTTGGGGTCTACCACACTGAGGTCAATGGGACCCTTAATACAGACATAAAAGCAAGATTGGGTTCTTGGTGCATTCTGTTCTCAGTTGAAATCTGTCTAAGCTAAGGACTGATTCTGTTCTTTTTACCATTAATTTCAATGGTGCTGAATGGAGCTTTCTGTATTCTGATTTGCTTCGGCAGAAACTGTGGTTTTCTTTCTCTTTCGTACGGTGTCCAGCACACTGGCATCTCTCAAAAGAAGTTCCGTTGCTGATTTGGCACCACTTAGCAGTATGTGCGTTATCTTTTTCTGGGGCACTTGAGCTTCTGCTTCCATGCATGATTCTTTTCTCTGAAAGATGGAAGCACCCCACTGTTGATTGAGTTGCTGTGAATGATGCATGGAATTGGGACCAATGTCAGTTTATTGCTTAGATTTTTCTGGTTTTTGAGTGGGACAGTGATTCAGGGGCTCTCATAATAGCTGTGTAATTGCTTCTTCTCTCTTTAAAAGAGTGTCCATTCCATTGGGCTGTCTGTGGGGAAAGAGATTATTCTTCTTGTTAATGATTTGTTAGTTACTCTAGGTACATCTACACTGCACACCTCTTTTGACGGCATGTAGAGTAGCTATGTGCACAGCCTCCCTAGCACAAGTATAAATAACAGTGTAGCCAATGAAGCATGGCTTAGGCAAGTAGAGTAAAGACACATCTGAAGGGCATGGGTATGTGAGTACATAGCCTACATGCTGTCTACTCTCCCAAGCTGTGTGTTGTGTCTACACTACTATTTTTAGCAGAGTAGTGTCCTGCTGCCTCCCCACTGCAGGAGACTGTCCCCTCTTCAGGAAAAAAACTCCCCCTCAGGGGAAAGGCTCTGGCAGGGGGGTGCAGCAGGGAAAGGGCTAGTCAGCTCCCCACTACTGACTGAGGCATTCCCCACCACAGGGAAAGACTCCAGGAGTGAGGAGGCAGTGGGGAGAGGCTCTGCCAGCTCCCTGCTTCTCCTCCACAGGAAAAGGGTTAGGGAGGGGTAAGGCACTGGGGAAAGGCTCAGCCTTTCTCTGCCAGCTCCCTACCAAAGCTTTCCCTCACCTCAATCGAAGACTCAAAGCAGTGAGGATCTGCAGATGCTCTTCCCTACTGTGTCCCCCCTCCAGAGCCTTTCACTGACACATGTAGCCACACACCAGAGTACAGAACTTGCTTTTCACTGTGGTGTGTAGCTACACATACCCTACACAACCCGAAAGTAGTGTGTAGCATAGACATAGCCTATACAGTCAGTATAAATGAAGATTCAGATCAATTTGGATCAGGTCTGAATAAGAATCATAATGGTTTTACCATCAGTAATTCTCTGTATGGCTTGTTTATTTATTTGTTTGTTTGTTTGTTTTTAAAGGCAGAGGGCAAATAGAATCTGCATGGATTTGAAGATGTAGGGAGGAGCAATGGTGAAAAAGACAGTTCTTCTGTCCCCAGCTATGATGCCAAACCTTTGTCTGGGGAAGCGGGAAAAATTATCACATTTATGGAGCGTAAGATTAACCTCTCCCAAGACGCATCTGCACCGATATATTGAGAGACAGTACCATAACCATTTGTTCTACTAATGAAGAGGAATTAATGTTCCCTAGTTATGCTCCTACAGACAAATTGAAGAAAAGAAAGGAAATGTATTTAAAACAAACCATACTACAAGCACGAGGAAGAAAGATATTCTTTTTGTGCTTATGGTTAAATATTATTGGTGAGTGCTCAAAAAGCTTCTGGAGACAAAGGTTAAAAAATAAAGTTGGCATTTATTTACAGTACACAATGCAGAGAACAAAAATGTGTATGACATTTTATATGAGCAGGTTTTTTATCAGCATTTGTGTTCTTTTGGAAGGACAGAAGGTAGGACTTTAAAACAACAGTATCTTAATTGCTTGTTGCAGTCTTCCCCAATGAAGGAAATTCCAGCTTAATTCTCAGTTGTGTAAATTTCTTCTAGTCTTAAAGACTAATAGTATTGCTCTCTTGAAGGAAAATTGATGGGAGCAACAAGTGGTATTGATAGACTTAAGCAGAACTATAAATTTCACTTAAACATAAAATATGCAGGAGTGCTTTCTTACGTAACTGTGTAGTTGAATAGACATGTCACTCTGTGTACTGCACCTTTAAATTTGGAGGCGTGTCCTTGATTGAGGTAGGAAAAGTTGTGAGTTGCCATTTTGTGTTTTGGTTCAGGTGCACAATGTTAGGGTGATATTACAGTCCTGATCCTGCAATGGGACTTGGTAAGAATCTGATGGCAGGATCAAGGCTTATGTTCTCTCTTTTCAGGTATTTTGAAGTACAGCTGATTAAGACAGACAAGTTGGGTAAGCTCTGATACATCAACATACCAAATACCCATTCAAAATGGGCAGATTTTGATGTGGTTAGAGGGATATTGGCAGGATATGGAGAAAGGGTTTCAGAAGTGTCTGGAATGGTAGGAATTGGTTTATAGAATTTTAATGCCAGAAGGAACCCATTAAATCATCTAATTTGACCTTCTGTACACATAGACTATAGAATTTCACACAGTTACACCTTTATTGAACCCAATAACTAGTCTGACTAAAGCATACCTTCCAGAAAGACATTGAATCTTGATCTGAAGACATAAAGACATGGAGAATCCACTATATTCTTGGTAGTTTGGTCCAATGGCTAATCATTCTTGATGTTAAAAATGTGTACCTGATATCCAATTTGAAGTTGAGGTGGCTTTAACTTTGAGCCATTGGATCTTCTTATGCCTTTCTCTGATAGGTTAGACATCCCTTTAATACCGGCTATTTTTTCCTCTGGGTTGGAAAGAGTCCACAAAAGAAATGGGGTAGATGTGGTTTAGCAACAGAATGATGTCCCTTCCCCTGCAAACCCCCCACTCCTCAAAAAAGTTCTATTTTAACAGCTAATATAAGCCTGAAAAAGTCAGTTTGGTTTGAGAAACCATCTTTGCTAAATTTATTCACTGTAATCAACTGATATTTAATTTGACAGTAAATGCAGTGGCTATTCAAAGACTTTAACATTGAAGGAAGGAAACCTTTTCACATACAAATAATTTTTATTCATAAGTGATTCTAAGATGAATATCATTATGCATCTATTGTCTATTTTGATAGTTTTTTATATTACATGTATCAGTGATAAAAACATTTCTCTCAGTGTAATGATTTAATGCCCCCTTTTTATAGTCTGGTAAGTTTCTTTACTTTAAAAAGGCTTGCTCTTATTTTAATGGTATGCTGTGTTGGTGGTTTTGTTTTAAATAATTTTCTTTTCCTCCTCATGACTCTGCTTGATTTTTTTCCAAGTAATCTTTGCCAGGCTGATTTCCCAGCTCTGTCTTACGTTTCTTTCTTTTAAATGTTCTCTGTCTTTTCTTGTCTTAGGTATAGTATATTTTTGTTTTCCTCTTCTTGTGACTTTACCTTTTGAATCCTTCTCCATCTCGCTCCCCTTTCTTTCTCACATCTGTGGCCTCATTTCATTTCTTTACATTCTTTACCTCACTATTGTTGCCTCCCTCACTTCAGAGGATAATTCCCTGAAGAGCCATTCAGTTTACCCGCTTCTCTGAAAAACAATACTGTGTTTGAAAAACCAAACAAACTTTGTATTGTGGCTGCTCCTAGGAGGAGAGGAGTTGAAGCACATGGATATCATCAGAATTAGTGCAATGGGGTTAAGGAGAAATATGACTTCTGAATTAGGTAGGAAAAACAGGATTAGTAAATTTATACTTCAAATTCCCATATGGTTCCATTCTTTTTTTATTAGCTAAATAAACAGCCATGAAAATGGTTGTTAACAGATCTAGCACAAAAGTGTGCCATTGTGCAGAGGATGGCTTATGTATAAAGAAATAAAGATTGTAGAGTGGAAAAGAATTCAGTTGACCGAAAGAGAGAGAGAGAAGTAAGTCTTAGTACGCTCTAAGGCTGTAAATTGCCAAACAAGATGTTCATGTTAATGCCAACATGATATTGTCAGAGCTGTATTATAATGGCAGGAAGGCTGGTTCCACTTTAGTCCTAACAACCATGTAATCAAGCCAAGAGCAGATTTACTTAGGAAGGTTGGGGGAAATGTTAAAGGACACCATCAGGTTGTCTTTTTTCTTTAAGTTTTGAATTCTTTCCCCCCTCCTTATTATCCATAATCCCATCTTGGGGA